GGGGGGGGGGGGGGGGGGGGGGGGGGGGGGAGGGAGGAGGGATGTAAAAGTTGACGACGAGCGGGTAAACGGGGGAGTGGACTGCGCAGTGCCCTCAAAGGGAGAGGTTGTCGAGGATATCGAACGTGTTGACGAACAGCTATTGGCGGTGGCTGGGAAAAAAAATAGCGACGGCGGTTACCAGATGAGAGAGTGTTGCGGAGGACATAGAACGGCACACGTATTGCGTGTGGGGATTGAGGGAGAAACATCAAATTCAGAAGGTAAATTAAACCTTTCGAAACCCGCCCATCCATGCTCGCAAAAATGCCTTAGCATCGGCGACTCTTTAGACCCAACATTCCTAATCCGCGAACCCAGTCAAAACCCTATTCCCCGCTTGCACACGCCCCCGACGAGCACCTCTATTCATAACCTACTTGTCGCTCACCGGCATTTGCAACAGCCTCAGTTCGTTCCTAGCTCATGCTATCTCTCATTGGCCTCATCTGCGAAGAAACCATTCCGCGTATTCCAATCCAGTATCTATCGATAACCACACCCCGTTCCGATCTCTACGTAGGAGACCTTGTTGGCCCTCGGCCCTCCAAGTTCAAACCACTCGTCCTCGGCGAACAGCTCGCCAGCAGAACCCCCGGCCTGCCCCCTTGTTTTCGGATGCGTCATGCGAGAGACAGTGTGCGGAGCAGTATGTCAGCCTTGTGTCGACAACGTACATTTTATTACGGTAGACCACATTGCACGGATCACCACTTTCACGGCGCCGAGTGACAAGTCAGAGAAGAGAAGCAGCTCTGTGTGAACCGCCGCTAGAAAGGCGAGCTGTCTTCCAATCCCGTCCCCATCCCCACCTTTTCCATGCTTATCCATAAGCCCTCACGCAGGTAGTAATGTAAGTGCGTGTTCCAACTGTGACTTTACGAGATTTTTAGCACGCATCGGCTTGCCAAGTTGACCCCCCTGCAGGTGGACGCTTCCGCCTGTCTTCTCCCTCTAGCCTGTCGACGTGTCCGCACATCCACACCACCACGAGGGCATATCCACGATTTCGTGACGCACCATGGTCTCAGCGAGAGGAAACAACCTCTCGGACCACTGCGAATCGTGGAACTCATGAAGGGACATAGTTTGCGGACCATGCCCGTTCGACAGTTTTCATCCCACGTTCCACCATATTCCAGTCCCTTATTCCATCCACTCGGCAACCTCCTCGATGCTTCCTTTTATTCAGCATGCGTTCTATTCCATTCTCGGTAAGGCTGTCCTTCTAACTAGTTCCGTTTCTTTGGCTGTCGGTCAAAGGGATACACGGATATTTGTGTGAACTGCGCTTACCGCGACCTCCTTTTCATAACTACAATTAATCAAGCCTTGATTTTGTTGAATGCAAACGAAAAGTATGCCAAGGGCCGTAACGTGCTCAACAAAAGGCCAGTCACATGGTGGCATAATAAGAAAACTTGCATACGTTTAATTGGGCCATGGTCATGTGGGATCGTTTTACTTGTGATGGGTTAGATCGCACGCCACCCTGTAGTAGCCGGGAGCCGGCAAGAGAATCCGTCCTTAGGCTCATGCGTTTTCAGACGTTCAGGTACTAAAATACATGAACCCCCCTAGTGCTGAAATCAAAAATCTTTTCCTCTATTCTTCCTTTGGAAAGACATTGGCTAGGAATGTCACGATGGTCGTTTAGACCTCATTGATTACAGCGTTAGTATTGCTGTACATGTATCTGTTGCTATAATAAAAGCGTGGTCTTGATTCAATTTCCTCAGAACCGGGCAGTACTTTGTTAATACTTCAAAACCGCAGCTGGGAAGGATAGCACAGCGATTCTTGAGTTTACTGTGGGTCCCACAATCTCTCCAAGCGCACTTGCTGGGATGTGGATACACAAATACCCTCCGTGGAAAACTGCAACATGTGTGCAAGCTTACTCTTCAATTTCCCTCCTCTTCGGCGCATGCATCATCACTATTACACCATTAGTCAAGAGGTTGGAAAGTGTGGACTAAAAAAGGATCGTCCTAGAGGGTGCTATGCTCTAAATTACCAAAACTTGTTAAACACTACTCAGTCAAATATCTGTGTCATACGAAAGAATCGGCCTCAGCCACTTCTCAGTTATACCAGTACTCCAACCCTTGCGCTTCTCTCCATAATCTGTCGCTTGATCCTTAGTGATTTTTCCGACGGCAAAATATTGTGATTTTTCGTGCGCAAAGTACAACCCTGATACTGCAGCAGCAGGAAGCATTGCAAGGCTCTCAGTCAACCGCAAGTTCGAGTTACTCTCCGCATCAAGAAGTTGCCACATAGTCTCCTTTTCTGTGTGATCTGGTTGCGAGGGGTATCCCGGAGCTGGTCGAATCCCAGTATACTTAATCTTAATCAAGTCTTCGGGTGACAATTTCTCGTTGCCTTGCGTGTAGCCCCAGAAGTCCATTTTGTTCCTCACATCCTCGTGAAGTTTCTCTGCAAAAGCTTCGGCAAGACGATCGGCAAGTGCTTCACACATAATGACGTTGTAGTCGTCCAAATCCTTTTTGTATTGTGCAATCAATTCCTCAGCGCCAAAGATACCAACAGCAAACATTCCGATGTAATCTTTCATGCCTGACTCTTTTGGTGCAATGAAATCTGCCATGGCGAGGTAGCGTGCTTCATCATCCTCCTTCTCTGCCTGCTGGCGAAGTGTGCGGTAAACGGCGACGGGCTCCTTGCGGTCATTGTCCGCCTCAGGTGCATACAATTCGATGTCGTCATCGTTGACACTGTTGGCGGGGAAAAACCCAACAACTCCGTTTGCTGTCAGCTTCTTGTTCTTGACATAGTCGAGCAGCGTTTCCTGTGCCTCGTCAAACAGTTTCTTTGCCTCTGCACCAACAGTTTCGTCATTGAAGATCTTTGGGTATCCCCTGTTGGGATATTTACCACGCAGCTGCCAGGTTTGGAAGAATGGGTTCCAATCAATGTACTTCAAGGTTTCTTCCAGTGGAAAGTCATTCAGCACTTTTACCCCCAGTTGCTGCGGTGCTTGTGCAGGAGGTTCAGAGCCAGTAAAATCAATAACGAGTTTTCTTTTGCGTGCCTCAGGCAGAGAGATGTATTTCCGCTCTTCAAGCCCGGCGTAGTGCTCTTCCCTTAGTTCCTCATATTCTTCTTCAATGTCCTCCCGGAAATCGACGTTGTTGTTCTCATCAAGGAGCGATGAGACCACCGTGACAGCACGAGAAGCATCCAAGACGTGAACAACAGGCGCGCTATATCTAGGATCGATTTTCACAGCGGTATGCATCTTCGACGTCGTTGCCCCGCCAATGAGAAGAGGAATTTTCATTTGCTCCTTCTCCAAGCGCGCGGCAACATAAACCATTTCGTCAAGCGAAGGCGTAATCAGACCCGAAAGTCCAATGACGTCTGCGTTATGCTCACGCGCGGCATCAATGATTTTATCTGTCGGACACATGACACCAAGATCAATGACGCGGTAATTATTGCAACCAAGAACGACAGCGACAATGTTCTTCCCGATGTCATGCACGTCGCCCTTGACCGTTGCAATTACCATCGTCCCTGCGTACATGTCATCTGCCGATGCGACTTCTCCCCTGGCCTCCGCCTCAGCTATTCGCAATTCCTTTTCAGCTTCCATGTACGGAATGAGCACGGCCACAGCCTTTTTCATGACACGAGCAGACTTAATCACTTGCGGTAAGAACATTTTTCCAGCTCCGAATAGATCTCCGACTATATTCATACCATCCATAAGTGGACCCTCGATAACATCAAGGGGCTTATCAGCCTCAACACGCGCCTCCTCGACATCACCGAGAACAAATGCGTCAATACCCTTCACGAGAGCATGTGAAAGTCTTTCCGTGACAGGAAGTTCGCGCCATTTGTTCTTTTCAGCATCAGTCTGTCCCGCAGTAGAACTCTTCTTATCCATCGTGAGAGAAAATTCTAGCAAATTCTCGGTGCCTTCTGGACTTCGATTGAGCAGGACATCTTCAATTAGATCCATCAACTTTTGCGGGACATCAGAGTACACTGGAATGATACCTGCATTGACAATGCCCATATCCATTCCCTTGGAAATTCCATGGTACAAAAACGCGGAGTGCATCGCCTCACGAAGGGCATTGTTTCCTCGGAAAGAGAACGATATGTTTGACACACCCCCGGAGATATGGCAGTGCGGAAGCTTTTCTCTGATGAGTGTTGTTGCTTCAAAGAAGTCCACCGCATAGTTATTGTGTTCTTCAATACCGGTGGCAACCGTGAGGATGTTGGGATCAAAAATAATGTCATTGGGATTAAAATTGACAACATCGACAAGAATGCGGTACGCTCGCTCGCAAATTCTAACCTTGTCGTCTCTTGTGGCTGCCTGGCCCTCCTCGTCAAATGCCATGACAACGACTGCAGCGCCGTACTGCTTAACAAGGCGAGCGTGTCTTATAAACTCCTCCTCGCCAACCTTTAAGGAAATAGAGTTGACGATGCACTTACCCTGTATGCACTGCAAGCCTTGCTCTACGACATCAAACTTTGATGAATCAATCATGAAGGGGACTTTGGCGACATCCGGTTCTGTGGCAAGCAAGTTGCAAAACTTTCTCATGGTAGCATGAGAGTCCAAGAGACCCTCATCAAAGTTGATGTCAATGACTTGTGCGCCATTGTTGACCTGCTTAAGGGCAATCTCGAGCATTTTCTCATAGTTGCCCGCAAGCACCTGCTTTTTAAAAAAGCCGGATCCAGCGACGTTGCACCTCTCTCCGACATTGACAAAGCGAACGAGAGAAGGGTCAAGCTCAAACGGCTCCAAACCTGACAAGCGCATGACATTGGGCAAAGTCTTCGGCGGTGGCTTGGGTTTGTTCTTCGAGAAAAGGTCAACGATAGAAGCGATATGGGCAGGAGTAGACCCGCAGCAACCGCCGACAATGTTGCACAGTTTGTTACTGGCAAAGCTGGAAAGCTCCTGAGCCATCTCTGGGCCAGTCTGATCGTAGCCGCCCATGGCGTTGGGCAAGCCTGCGTTCGGGTAACAGATGATGTATGCATCCGAGCAGCGGCCGAGCCTCTCGATATACTGGCGCATATCCTTTGCGCCTAGGGCGCAGTTGAGGCCAACGGCCATGGGTTTGGCGTGCTCGACCGAGGTCCAAAAGGCTTCGGTGGTCTGTCCGGACAGGGTGCGGCCGCTCATATCGACGATGGTACCGGAAATGAAGATGGGGAGGCGGTCGCGGTTCGGGTTGAGATTGAAGTATTGCTCGATGGCGAACAGAGCGGCCTTCGCGTTGAGGGTGTCGAAAATGGTCTCGACGAGCAGCACATCGACGCCGCCCTCGACCAAGGCGAGGACCTGGTCGACATAGGCATCGACGACCTCCATGAAGGTGATGTTACGGAAGGAGGGATCGTTGACATCCGGGGAGATGGAGAGGGTCCTGTTGGTGGGCCCGATGGCGCCGCACACGTACCTCTTGCGGCCGTCCTTCTCCAAGTAGGTATCGCAGGCGGCGCGGGCGACCCTAGCGCTTTCAAAATTGATGTCGTAGACGTCCTTGGGGTCGTTGTGGAGCTCGTAGTCGGCCTGGGCGATCTTGGTAGCCGAGAAGGTGTTGGTCTCGATGAAGTCGGCGCCGGCCTCCAAGTACTGCTCGTGGATCTCCTGGATGACGTGCGGGGCGGTGATGGAGAGGATGTCGTTGTTCCCCTGCAGGTCGTTCGAGTGGTTGCGGTAGCGCTCCCCGCGGAAGTCGGCCTCCTTGAGCCTGTGGCGCTGGATCATGGTGCCCATGGCGCCGTCGATGTACATGACGCGCTCATCCAGCACGGCGCGGATCTCCGCGAAGATTTGCGGCTCGAAGGAGGTTGGCTGCGCCATGGCGAAGAACGGTTTTTCGGGGTGCGGGGGTGCGGGGGTGCGGGGTGGGACGGGGCGATGCGAACGCGCGGTTGATGCGTCTTTGCTACGGCGGAGGGGATGGAACGGTCGCGGGTGCGTGCGGAGGGGGGGGGGGGCCAAGGAGGTACAATATGTACTGGCCCGTGTACCGGGCCAGTACAAGGGTGCGTGCTCCTTTTCACCCCCCGCTGAGGCGCGTTCTCGAGTGTGCGGTGGCGAGCGAGACTTGCGGCCTGCGAATGCACACGCGACTGGGACAGCGCGACAGTCGGCCTTTTCTTTCAGTTGCAGTTGCAATGGACTTTTTTCCATTGGGCGAGTGCCAAGTGGGCTTGGGAGACGCCACGGATGCAAACGGATTTCCACTGTAAGTTTCGTCATTGCGCAACCTGTCCAGGTGGACACGTGGACACCGTGGACACCGCTGACAACGCCAGAGGATGCGGCGGCGAGGGACCTGGAGCACGGAAGGTAAAAGGAGGCGGATCCCGATTCACACACGTTCATTTTACTGCATCCCAATACTACTGTACATCCCAATGCTACACTCCAATACTGCATCCAAATACTGCATGTATCCCAATACTGCATGCATCCCAATACTGCATGCATCCCAATAATGTATGTATTCCAATACTGCGTGCATTCCAATACTGCATCCCAATCTTACACGTCATACCATACCTGTACATGTTACTATACAGGGGGGTGTCGCGACATAGTGCTACCCTCTGCCAGTGGGCCAAAAACGGCACTACAGATAATGATATTATTTACGCTTTTTTTTTCAGCCACTTCCTTGCATCACTGCTCAGAAAGAGCGCTCGCAGGGTGCCATCACTCGTACTTTGCATCTTCACTGAAGACTCAAGTCTAATCAAGCATTTCTGTTATTACCCTTCGAAGGGTAGTAGCTGCCGAGTCGCCGCATTGACTTGCTCCTTTTTCGCAGCCATAAATGCCAGCCTACACTTTTGCAGATGTCCAATTGCATCTTCGACCCTGTACCTGAAGGTTGTGAGAAGTGGTACAACGTTCACACGTAGTACAGATATGTCGTACGTGTGGAAGCTTCTAAAGAACACAAGAGCATATCATGCGTTCGTAATTCGAATGCCGACCGCCGGCAGGTGTGCGCAAAGGTCGCGGTGCCACGCACACTATCTATCGAATGCAATTAGATAGTGGCATTCACCACGCTGGTTGAATGAAGCAATTGGGGCACCCGACGGCAATTAGCCTTGAGAGGAGGGACAGGCAGTCTCTTCTCCAAGGGTGTATATGGAGCCATATACATCAGCCTTAGCAACGAGCAGCGGAAGGCGAGCGAGGAACACGCAGCGACTAATAAAGAAAGAGCAAGCAACGCTCGGGCTTTTTGTGCCTGTTCCACGTGTCTGTTACCCAACGCCATACTAGAAGTTTGGAGTGCCCCTACACTGCGCGCGAGATCAGTATGTCAGAACTGAATCCCACACTGAAGGTACAGTACCACGGTACTACATACTATGTTACAGTACAGCCTTCTACCACAACTCTCACCTCATCCTCTTCCGCCCCCCAGCAACTCCCCCCGTCACCTCCCTCATCTCCACCGCTACTCGTTGTGCGACATATTCCTCACGGCCCCATTAATACACGCGCTGACCTTCCCCAAAGCCGCGCTCTCGCACCCGATTTTCTCCCTGACGTACTCCACAGCCACCTTCACGGCGCGGTGCTGAAACATCGCGAGCGTCTCCTCCGTCTCGCCTGGCGTCTCCTCCTGCATCCGGTCCACGAGCACGGCGCACACCGTGGCGGCCCGCACGCCCACCCTCTTCGCGAACGCCCCGAGCGCCACGCACTCCATCTCCACGTTAACCACGCCCCTGCTGCGGCAGTCCTCCAAGAACGCCGCCCTCTCCGCGGCGGAGAAGTCTGCAAACGCCCCGTCGCGCCGCGCCTGCGCCACGTAGAACGTCTCGGCGCTCATCGTGTCGCCGCGCACGCACCGCTTGCCGAGCAGCGCCCGCCCCTTGGCCGCGAGCTCCTCGCCGAGCGTCTCGTCCATCTCGGCCGCGAGCACGCGCTGCTTGCCGAGCACGGCCATGCGCAGCCCGCGCTCGAACAGCCCGTTCACGGCCTGTCGCGTCACCACCACCGTCCCCGCCGCGACCCCCACCCCGCCGCACGACCCAATCCGGATCAGCGCGTACGCGCCCGCCATCGCCGACCGGATCGCAATGTGTAGCTCGTGCAGCAGCACGTCGATCGACCCGGCCCCGATCCCGTGCGCCGCCACCAGCACCGCCGCGTGCGGCTGCAGCAGCGTGTACCGGTCCGTGCGGCATAGGTTCGTGTGCGGGCCGCCGCGAAAGTGCGACGCGATCGCCTTGGCCCGCGAGATCGACCCGCAGAGTAGCACGTAGCGCACGGAGCACAGTGAGGACCGCAGGAATTGCGACGGGAGAGGGTAGCCGAGGTGGAACAGTACCGAGCCAGGCGTGGGCGACGGCGACGGCGACGACGGCGGCGACGGCGAAGAGGAGGAAGAGGGCATGCCGGAGTTGTTCAATGCTGCGCGACAACTGTGCCCGGGAAGCGGAGGCAAGGGGCGCGTTTCGCACGTCTGTTACTTATATGCGCTGACGGGCGTGTTTCTTCGGGGAGTCACAATTGGGAGTTACAATTGCGTCCGGGAAAGACTGCTGCATGGCGTACCTCTGTCATGGAATCTCGCTGTGGAAGTTGTACGATGTGGGGAAAAGGTGCGTCTGGGGGTCGAGCGAGTTGGGCTTTTTTTATTGGTCGGTGCAGTTGCTTTGTGCACTTTCATTCGCTGCTCAACAACCTCACGAGATTGGCATCCTCGCTGTGCATCCCTCCTGGACACGAGACCGAAGCGCTGGCAAGCTCCTGTGCCTCCCAAGCGCCGACCTTCGCGTTCATCCTTGTCGAACCTTCGTGTTTCTCTGTCACTCTGCGGCATCACTGCTTTGCCGAGATTGCGGAGAGGTAAGCTTCAAGGTTCCACCGCTATGTACTTCTGCACTCTATTCATCTTTCATTCGTACAGCATTATAGTACATCCCGTCTGCATGACTACCTCAGATGCGGAGCAGGAAGTGCAGTAAACTGTATCCTTCGAAGGGACAACGTGAGTCGGCAGCTCCAAAGCATGCTGCTATCAGGCATGAAATTGTTTGAACGTCTTAGTTTGGAACGACGCATAATAAAATATGAAACACAAAATATGAGGCGATCAGGTCCATAATTGGCCGTATATTAACGTTGTCCGTATAGTCACGAAAACGCGTGTTTTGGCGGCGAGTTTCCTCGGATTTTCTGAAAGGCAAATTTTTCAAACAACGCGTTTGGCAAAACTCACAGCATACCGAAAACTCGGGACATGTGAGTTTTCCACGAGTTTCACATCCGCCTGATCACAGCAGTGCCGGGTCGACCCGTCGTGAAGAAAAACGAAGTGGGTCTTCTGTTCTTTTCATCAGCACAAACGAGCCTCAGACTGCAAGGGTCGTATCGATATGTGTCATGGACGCCCCTATCGCTTCATCTGCGCAGAGTCCGTCAATGGATCAAAGCGCGACAGGATCTGCCACAGATGCCGCCGAAGCAACTGCGAAAGAAAGACAAGTAGAAGCTTCCAAAAAGCGGTCTTCTCTAAACTTCCCCCCTCAGCCTGTCAAGAAGACGAAACACATCGCCCTTTCAACTGATAACCTTTCTAACCTTGTGGCGAGCAACAAATATTCACTTCAGCGAGTATTCGCGCAAGTGCACATGATCCTTCGGGCGGCACAACGATATACCAGACTTGCGTTTGTTGCGGGCAGGTACCTTGCTGGAGGTCAATCCGCAAAACTCGTGGTGAGATTTTTCAAACCCGGGTTTATTTTACGTCCAGCGGGTTTGTGGGCAAATGGAATAAAACAACCCGTTATTTTACGAACAACGATATTGTGTGAGAGGTTTGCGCTCACGATTCTTGCAACCATCGTGCTCGCAAGTCCGGAGCGAGTCGAATTCGTTATTTGCCGCGAAAGTGGACAACATTGTAATTGTCGAGAATATAAAAGGGGGGTAGCCCTAAGTTTTGAACAGCGTCCAAACCCCTTGAACAAAAACAAATCAACATTTTTTAATCAAATTATTACTTTTTAGCCTCCGTTGAGACCACTACCCTGTGGAAAGCCACACGAGAGAGATGGTCTGCAATGGCCCCAGATATGACAGAAAATTAAATATAAAACTGTTCAATGTATTCAGCCGCCCTTCTTACTCCACGTGAGAGGCCGCAATGGCCAATTCAAAAACGAAAAGGGATGTTTTGCGTTTAGGGGGGCGATCAGGTGCATTTTGGTGGCAACGGACAGGTGCAATTGACTTTTCTGTTGTGAACAGGGTCCGAATCATGAATTGTTGTTGCAAAAGCGGGGCGAAAGGAGGAAAAACAGCAGCGGTAGTCACTCGCTTCTCCCGTCCCACCCGCTCTCGCTCAGGCCGTCTCCCTTGCAGCCCTCTCGGCTTCTGTGTGTTCCATAGTGTCTCGTAGTTTTCAGCAAGTTTTCAGCAATTTTCAGTAAACAACGTGTCAGTGGCATCTCGCGGAGCCGGCCCCATAGCTACTCGATTACTGGATGATACAACGCTGTTAACCAGACGCGTTAGATCATTGGTGGCAGTGTATGACATAATAGCTGTTGGCGGCGAAAAGGGGGGAGGAAGGCCGCGCGCGTAGGAGAGAGAGAAAAGTTTTTTTTCAGAAGCGTGAAGTTTATTGCAAGAGCGGGGGTCAGTCGGCGGTGTTGTTGTGTTTTTTTTCTACCTCTGTCGCGGGGCGTCGTGGCGCGCCCCTTCCTCTTATAGAGGGGCCGCCAACATCTTCCACTTCACAAGACCGCCGCTCTTCAAAGGGAGATTGTCCACGTGTACACCTGGCGTACACGTAGACCAATAAAATCACCTTTTGAAGGCTTTGGTCCTGAGGCCACTCCTGGGTACTGTACCCTGTACAGTACCCCAAATCTCCCCCACACGACCCCCTCCCCAGCCCAAACCCGGGCAGGGGCAACATATATACTGACCGCTGGCCGCTCCTTTGCTCTTGGTGCTCGGCTTGAGTCAGGAAACCGGTGCTCGACCTTGACGATCCAATTGACACAATTTAGTGTCACCATCGACACCAATCCCCCAATCGCTCCACGTTGCCACGTGTGTTCCTGGAGCCTCACTGTAATTACTTTTCTCTAACCTTAATCCATTGTTCACACAACTTGAGTGCACATACTAACTACTTTTTTTCATCACTACTGCACGAAGCTCGTTCCTAGCGTGACGCAGATTCCGGCCTTTGCTTGCCATAGATACTTGACTTGATTGTTTGTGTGGCAGTACTCAGGTGAGGTTTTAATCCTCGGGTCTGCCCCTTGCAAGCGGTCTCATTTGGCACGGAAACATGAATCAACTGTGCGTCACTCTGCATTCACCCGGTGCGGCCGCTGTCTCGTCCTCTTCGTCAACCGCAGCGCTTCCGGCGTTGTTCTCGACGAAAGAAACATCACATGCACCTTCTTCTACGCAGGCTTCTCCAAGGGATTGTTCTCGGCCTCCGACGGCATGCTGTCATTCACATTTTCCCAGGAGAGTAAACGAGTTATCCTGAGCATTCCAGTCCTGGAGTGCGACGTCCAGATGTCGTACGCCGCCACAGGTATCTTCTTCATCACATGCAGTGGGTTTTCATTCGAGCTGTCGTTTCTAATTTCTAAATGCATAAAAGGGGCCATACATCTTACGTAGCTTTGAGCAATAACGTAATTAACTATTTTGCTACAATACATATGCGTCTTCACTCCATGGTGTCCTGCTCACTTTTCCTTGCACGATAGGGTACGAGTCGACGAGCATGAATAGGTTTCCTCGACATTCGGCAATGACACGACTCTAACACGTAGCGAGGGTGGCGTCCTTCTACGATTCTGCATGGCCCGTAGAACTTTGATACGAATGCAGGCCATTTCGTGCCACCGAATGAAGTTCCACGAGCGACAAGAACTTTGTCTCCCACTTCGAAGAGGTGAGACGACGACGCTACGAGCCTCTTTTCCACAGAGGCCCCCGAGCGAACTGCTCGTGGGACAGATCCAGTCAGGAGCTCCAAGCGACGATGATGGTCTAAGGAAGGAATAACTTGGCTTGCACCTGTCTCTGCACTGGAATCCATCCGAGGCGGGTCCCCATACATTAATTCGAATGGAGACACGCCGTTCTTCATGGCACGTCGGCGATATCCATACAGGACCTGGGTGAGTGCTTTGTCCCACTCCATTCCAGTTTCAAGAACTGTCCTACGGACGGCAGCCTTCGAATTTCCAACCATTCTCTCTGCTCTACCGTTAGACATGGGAGCGTAGGCGAGGACGGTGCGCCGATTGATACCGTGCCGAGCCATGAAGCTAGAAACGGCCGAGGCTGTGAAGCTGGTAGCATTGTCAGAGACAATGGTTTGCGGAGGGCCGAATGAGTACATGATTTCTCTCTTGACGAAGTCAAGAACCACTTGAGCAGTACTATCAGCAGTGGATAGGGCAATTGGTCATCCTGTGAGGTGTTCGACCGCAACCAACACGAAGCCATTTCCGGACCAGGTGGCAGGGAAGGGGCCAGCAAAGTCAATAGAGAAAACATCAACAAGCTTGTGATGGGAAGTCGCAACGTGGTCTTGTATTTTGGAATCGGACGCGCCTTCTGACACCCGTCACAACTCTTCACGTAGTCTCCCACATCCATACAAACGGTCGGCCACCAGCACCTTTCCGTGACAAATTGACGAGTGGTCTTCAAGTCCCAATGACCAATGTCGTCATGGAAACCCTTCAGTATCTTTTCGCGATCGGAAATTGGGGCAACAACACGAAGACCATGAATGGTGCGGCGGAACAACTTCGACTCCCGCACTAGAAAGTTCTTCGCATTATTCTTCATGCGAGACTTCCTGTAATCATCCAACCCAACCGGTGTTTCGCCTTGCAGATAGGACATGATATCTTGGCAAGACTCTTCAAGATCTTCTGGAGAGTAGATCGGGGTCGTGATAGCGGGGGCAAGGTCTCCCTCTTCCTGGCAAGTTAGGTTGTCGCCGTTCTTGGGCTGAATGCGAGAAAGGTAGTCAGCTGCACCATTTGCGGATCCACGACGATATTCCACGGTGAAGTCGTACTCGGCTAAGAAGTCTAGCCAACGAGCCAAACGACCGTGGATGTCTTTCTTGCGAAAGGCGTAACTAAGAGCCTGGTGATCAGTAATCAACTTGAAAGGTGTAGACGAAAGCACGTAAACACGAAATTTCTTCAAAGCAAAGATGACCGCAAGCGCCTCACGCTCACAAGCGGAGTACTTGCGCTCTGATGTATTCATAGTACGGCTTGCGTACTGGATGGGGTGTATTTTCCCATCTTCCTTCTTTTGAGCCAACACAGCCCCGACGGAGACCGCTGACGCATCCGTCTCAACGACGAAGGGCTTCTCGAAGTCTGGGTAAGCCAAGACTGGCGGAGAAGTTAACTTTATGCGTAGTTCATGAAAGGCTTCTTGCATTTCTCCGGTCCATTTCAATCTGCCGTTTCCGGATGTAGCCGCATGGAGTACCGCAGCAATGTCCGCAAACTTGCAGATGAAACGACGGTAGTAGCTTGCTAACCCAAGAAAGCTCCTAAGTTCAGTCGTAGTGGTCGGGATCGGTGCATTCCGAATCACTTCGACCTTGCTCGGGTCAACGGCAATCCCGCCTTTGTCGACAACATGACCGAGCAACTTGATCTTCGCCTGGGCGAAGCTACACTTTGTCAGCTTAAGCTTAAGACCAGCCTCGTCAAGCACATCAAATACATGCTGCAGGTGCCGAAGATGTTCTTCTATAGTCTTAGAGAACACCACAACGTCATCGAGGTACACACGCACAAACGGCACTGCGCGAAAGATTGTATCCATCATTCTCTGAAATGTCGAAGGCACATTCATCAATCCAAAGGGCATGACTTCGAACTTATACGTCCCGTAGCCGCAGACGAAAGTAGTCATTTCTTTACATTGTTGTGCCATCCGAATTTGCCAGTAACCACTGAACAAATCCAGAGAAGTGAAGTACGCACTTCCTTCCAAGTCATCAAATATCTCTTCTATTTTCGACAAAGGCCATCTGTCTGCTTTCATCTTCTGGTTTAGAGAACGGTAATCAACACAGAAGCGTGGATTCCCATCTTTTCTGGATACGATGACGACCGGAAAGGACCATGCGGTGCTGGAAGGCGTGACGATTCCTGCTTCCAGCATTTTGTCCAGCTCTTTCCGAACGATTTCGTTATGCAAGGGAGCCATTCTCCTCGCCGAGTGATAGATCGGATCAGTATCATCTAACTCGAAATGGTGCTTGATTGGGACTTCAGCAGGCCGAAGGTCGTCAAGGGATGTAGCAACGATACTCTTACCCATCAGGGCGGTCTCGATGACTGCTTGAGCGTCATTGTCAAGATGCACAAGTTTTTCCCGAAGCATTTTCACGGCCTTGTTGATGACATTCGAATCAGGTGATTCTACTTCCTCATCTTCTCCGATCGCTCCGTCCAGAGTTAAGTCTAGCTCGAAAGGTTCATCGCCGAGGATAGCGACAGCATAAGTCTCTTCTTCCGACGAGTTTTCTGAGGCGAACGACTCGACATCAGAAGTGAAGTCCTCACTATCAGTCTCCGAATCCGCGACGATAGGACTTACTTGATCAAACTCCAGACTCATTTTCACGGTTTTGTTTCCGATCAACATTCTAACAGACTGGTGACCTAGATCGATGCAGGCTTGAAGTTCTTCGAGAGTTGGATACCCGATTAAGATATCAACTGGGGATCCTTCAACAACCAAGAAGTTGATTGAAGTAACAGCGCCATTGAACGTGACAGGAACTTCCTCGATGGAACCTAAGCAGGTTGTCTTTTGTCCATTGGCGACCGTAATCTTCGTCGAGGTCGGCTTTGGAGACAGAGAGAGCTTCGATGCCACAGACGCATTCATAACGTTAGGGATAGCTCCTGAGTCTAACAACGCTCTCATTTGTGTCCCGTAGACTTGTACCGAAACTACTTTCAGACGTTTCGGCAAAGTACCAATCGAAGCAGCTACGGGGCGTCTAGGGCGACTGTTGAACAAACGACGGATCTCTTTCTTAGCCTCGTCGCCATCTCCTCGAATCAGTTGACCGAATGTCAAACCAGAGGGGCGTTCGCGAGGGAAGAAACCACATCGTACTTCCCCGAGTGCTTTTGGACGGCGTTCTTCTTACTTGTCCTCTTCTTTCTTGTTCGACGGCCGGACTTAGGAAGTTTCCTCATGTGGTTCGGAGTCCAGTACTTACGCGGGTTGAGAAGGGACGGGATTGGCTCGCCGCCACCATCCTTTCGCGTCTTGGCCACCGGCTCTCCATCGGCGTTTCTCTTGACTGATGCCACTAACTTCTCATCAGCAGGGAGGTCGTCGTGCGTCACAACACTCACCTGGTTTCCTGCGGAGCCCGTCCGTGTACCCGACGCGGCAATATCCGTCTGGGTCTTCTGAGGAGGGTAGGCACTGCTACCTCCCCTCTGTGGACCAATTCTAGCCCAACAGCTTGTCTCTGAATGACCAAATTTTCCCCAGCGAGGGCATTTCGTGCCCCTATGCGGATTCGCATCGCATGTATTAGCGCCATGACCCGGTCGTTTGCAATAAGAACAAGTACGATCGTGGGCGGGGCGGAATGCTGTTGCGTCATCCCTCGACTGATTCTTCTTGATAATAAGATAAATATGGGCTAGTCGATCAGCTAAAGCGTCAACCTTCGTCTCAAGTGGAGACAAGGGAGCTTTTGAACGCATCATGACCCTTTTTGACCCACCTTGCCCTCTCGGCTCATACATAACTTGCGAGCTCTCTGACCCCTTGTAGCATGAATTGCTCAAGGAGTTCGCCGCCGCCTGAAAGGTGCAGCGACCAGACCAGAAGTCCATGATTGCATCGAATAGGGCCTTGTAGGTCTTCGCACCTCGATAGATGGCAAACTGGGCCAACTTGAGATGTTCCATCACGGCGTTGCGAAGCAGTCCGAACTTCGCTTCGTCGTTGAATCTCGCCTTCTCGTAGAGACGGTCTGAGTTTCGAAGGGACCCACTGAGATCCCCGAAAGAAAGGCGAGCGGCCATCCCATCCCGAATCACGTCTTCAGGTGATTCAACCGCGGCGAACCGCTCGACCAAGGCCTTCTTGACCTTCTGGTAGTCGGAGCCATCTGCACTGATATCCCCGTTCTTGACAAAGGCTTGATAAAAGAAGTCGAATGCATCTCCCTCCAGGTAACGAAGGAGTTCAGATGCCCTTTCTTCGTCCGACTTGCCAGAGGTGGCAACATTTTCGAACACGAAGAAGAACTTGTGGACGTCGGCCGGCTTCGACCCGTCAAACTGTGACAGGGAGCCGTCTTCTTTGCCACCCCTCCACAAGAGTACCATGTTGGCAGCGAAAAGGGGGGAGGAAGGCCGCGCGCGTAGGGGAGAGAGAAAAGTTTTTTTTCAGAAGCGTGAAGTTTATTGCAAGAGCGGGGGTCAGTCGGCGGTGTTGTTGTGTTTTTTTTTCTACCTCTGTCGCGGGGCGTCGTGGCGCGCCCCTTCTTCTTATAGAGGGGCCGCCAACATCTTCCACTTCACAAGACCGCCGCTCTTCAAAGGGAGATTGTCCACGTGTACACCTGGCGTACACGTAGACCAATAAAATCACCTTTTGAAGGCTTTGGTCCTGGGGCCACTCCTCGGTACTGTAACCTGTACAGTACCCCAAATCTTCCCCACAATAGCCACAATAAAAGTGGCCCCGCGCCATGCGTCCAGCGCGGGGTCCTTCGCAGTGCGCACCCCACTCACAATGCTGTCGCAGCAGTCAATGGGAAACGCCTTCCCCAGCTCGGAACAGATACTTTGCTTCAAACCGCTCGTGTTCGGTACTCCTTCAGTAAGGAATACCTCGCGCACGATTAACAAGATGCATGACGTGCTCATCTACAGCGCGTCTACAAGTTCACACACGTCCTATTCGGCTAGCGTTGGTTGACAACTCAGCTCGGGCGTATGTATTTTATCCACTGTCACGGGAAATTATTCAGCGTACTTATATCACTCCTAGAGAAGTGCAGAGCCCTCTGGGATCTTCATCGTCGAGTCTACATTGGCAGGTGCCATGTTCATAATCTCCGTACGCACAGATTTCAAACTTACATGCTCTTCTCCCGAGTTTTCGTCCGAATCCGTCCCATCGTTTCCAACCTTCCTTGATCTATACACATCCAAGTCCTCATCGTCTATCGCAAACGTGTTCTCCTCCACCTTCTTCTTTCCGCGCCCTCTCCCTCCTTCCCTCCCCTGGCCCCTCCCTCTCCCTCTCCCCTTTGCGTTCCTTTGCCTTGGGTCGTCGTCGAAACCCGCCTTGCTTCCTGCATGTTATGCCTACAACCTCATCCGTTCCCGTGCAGCGTGCGACCGCCGATCCCATCCCGCTTCTTGCGCCGCGCCCCTTTGCTTTAAACGGTCAGCTATCTCATCTCGCTCCGTTGCAGTTTGGCCATATATTATTGTGGCCTCTCCGTGCGCATCTTTTCTATATCTTCAGCCTTCCTCTCCGCTTCCGCTTTCGCCACGAGCTTATTTCAATACAAGACTAAGGTTTGTAGTGCAATGCGCCTGTCAGGCAGGGACCAAGGTCCGACGGTCCAACACAAACAACAGCAACAAAAACAACAACTGCCCACGGCACAGCGCTACGGAGTGTTCGAAGCTCCCTGTCCTCTTTAAGCGGGTTTGCGGCCCGCAGTAGCTCGAATCCCTGATAGGGGGGCCAAGAGAAGGGCCCAGCTCCGGATCGGTAAATGGTGGTAGAGACTTGTAAAGGCAACTGCTCGGCGAGTTCGGAGGGGTGTTTAGGTAAACCTGGTCCGATGGGTCGTAAATCCAATGCTCGTAGAGCGCCTTGTACACCTTATACCCTTGATAAGGTCTTCGACGGGGACGTCGCAACGTAGCCCGTCGGGAAAGAAGAAATCGTAGCAGCGCTACACCGTCGTACTGCCCGATGGCAAAGTACCAACAACGGATCGGTCGCAACCAGATCCCGATGGAACCAACACTGAGAAAAGCACCACTGGTGCACCAACACAGAAGCCCGATAGCAAATGACGTCACGTTGCGGATCGCAATCCTACAAGGTGGGACCAACTCAAGATTAAGGGAAATTAGGATAGGGAAGTAAAGGAAAATTGATAAGGAAAAAAGGGGACCCCTGAGCGCTGAAGGATGCCATAGGCTTAGGTAAAAGGGAGCGTCTTGGTAGGGACGGACTTCGACCAAGGCGACATTCAACTCCGGCAACTCGGGTTACCTCTACTGACTTCGTCGTCAGAGGGCTAAGGTATATATCGCCCCGCCGGAGCCACTACAGTAGCTCGCGGCGCTAGATCCTAGATCTAATCTAGTGTCAGCAAAATTAATGCCAACTAATTAACCAAATAAAATAAAATAATTAAAAACTAAAACTGTGCAATTATTCACACGTGTGTCCCCCAACCCGGACTACTTTTCATATCCAAATATTTTCCTTTCTTTTCACCCCCCTTCTTAGGTGCGTATTGCACTACAAGGTTTTGTTGTTGTGTTGTGGCGACGAACTCTGAGCTTTTGCTGCAGAGTCGACCTCCTTTATTCTCATGATTGTACTGTAGAGTGCCCTGGACAACGTTAGAGAAAGCGCTGATGCCTACGGTAAAACCTGCCTATTCGGATCTGCGCTCGAGCACGTTGCCACTCAGGATATCCTACAATGTAGTTCACTCAGGAAATTACACAGGGAAAGATTTGCTGCGTAGTTCCATTTCGGACCGTCTAAAACGTATCGATAGAGTAGCGCTTGCTACTTTCAGTCTTCTTCTTCCAAATGGGATTTATCTGCATCGACGCGAATAAACAAGATGGATGCAGCTGTATCTTGTACAGTTGAAGAGTCTGCTCCGACAGCTTAGCCTTTTCTCCCGTAACTATGCTTCCGCAGCCCCATGACAGGCCCTTCTCCGTTTCCATTCTCGCGCCTCCGCACGCGTACCACTCCGGCTTCTTCCCTCGAGACATTCCTGCGTCTCTGAACGCGGCCCCCTCCGCCATCACCTCTGACGTCGATCACTCTGCCACACGCAAGTACTCCAGCTGTGCGATAGTGAATGCACCGGCCTAGAGACGTACCCAATTCCCGCTCCGTGAATTACCAGCGTCGTACCTCCGCCCTTGCGAGTAGTAACGCGCGCGGGGGCTATCAAATTGGTGACCCTGCATGTATGGGACACGAGGCCAGTCGATGGTCTCGTGGATGTCGAGCTGCCTTTGCAAGTATCCTTGCCGCGCCGATCCGACGAAGAAAGGGGTCAGGTCCAACTGATAGAGCCAGTCCACCACCGTGTGTGGGAGGGCGTACAGCCGCCCGTCACAGGGCACCCATAGAAAGCGTTTAGTGAGGACGGGAGCCTCTCGTTCACAAATATCACCCAGTGGGAGGACTGCGGATCCTCCATCATCGTCAGTCCGTAATACACCAGAAACAGAGGCACTTGCGAAATGAATTTATTAGGGACTGCATACTGCGCGAACCACGTCGGTACCTCCGGGTATCACGTGTTGAGAACATCATGCTTCAAGGTGCTTATTTTCACCCACTCGTAGGCGACAAAACATCCCGTCCTATTGCGCATGCGACACTCGAATGTGAGCTTGCTGTGCATCAAGGGGTAACTCAGGCGCTCTTGGCGATCTTCGAACCCTGGAGGCAGAATGGCATCACTCCAGGCCGTAAACACTACTGGAGGTACTTACTCCCGTGCGGAGAGATTATCACGAATGTTCTTTAAGTTAGCCACATAACCACGATCGGAATCGCTGCGTTATGCCCAATTATCCATATCCCAGTCATGGGGCAGAAGCCGATTACACGGCGTCCGGCGAACTCTCTGCCGTACAAGTTCCATGAAGGCCGCTTCGGCCGCAGTGCTCAACCGCCGGAACCCTGGGCGCAATGACTCAGACTCCATCATGGAGTGGTGCATGTAGTCCTTGGACAACACAGATTACAGGCTTAGCCCTCCCGGTAGTTCTGCTGTTGCTGTCGCGTAACGACGGACGATCTCCGCTTCGCGTAACCCATCCGTAAAAATGGACAACGCCCTCTCGAACAGGAGGGCGTCGTCTTACATGTTGTGACCCCATAACTCGCGTGGACAAGGCCAACCATTGTCCTAAAAGGCGGCTACTATAAGAATGTCGTTATCATAAGCCCGCTTATCTACTAATAAGTCTCTCGTCGTATTTCTGGTTCGATTACGTTCGAACCTTTTTATCGCACGACCGCTCAAGCCCCAATTCCTTTTTGTTATGATGTCCACTTGGACGTTTTGAAATAGCATATGACGGTACTGTATCGCTCAGTTGTGTCGTGTCCATCTCGTATCATGGACATGCAATGTATTAAGTGTCTTATGTCTGTCTCCGACATGTAATGTTTCTATTGCATGTCTCATCTCATCTTTCTGTTTCCATTTGTATCATACTGTTTATTCCAACCTCACGATGAAGCTTGTGTCCAAAAATATGTTCTGTACTTAAGCTGTCTGTCTGCTAGTGGAGTTCAGTTTGAAGCAGGAGTTACCCGTTCCCAGTTCTTGCTCTACTTTCCTGTTCCGTTAAAGTTATCTCTGCTCCGATTCTACTGTTCCCCCGATCGTCGCCAACTTCTCTTAGTTATGGGCCCAGCCCACCATGGATCCGATCTGCCATCGCGCCCTCGCTTCTCCTGGGACACACGCTCTGTGCCCTGGACTGACGGGCGCGGCGACCAACAAGAATACGTCAAGTCAGTGACCCTTTGGGGATCCTTTCATGACAAACACTTCGACAACAACTCGACTAAGATTCCGCTCGATCTACGCGGAATCATGCTCAAGTCGCAACTGTTTGGCCGTGCACGCGATCTGTGTACAGGCATTCCCGATACTGTTATCGCCTCTGCCGAATGAGTGAAAGCGATTATTGGTGCATTGCACTAGCGTGATGCTCTCACTGTGGTCAGTGAAGTCTTCCGTGACTTCAATGACCTTCTGTCTACAAGACGCTCGAATGCTGAATCCTACCGCAGCTTCGAGAACCGCTTCGCCGCTCAAGTTGCGAAATTCAACTCTAACGGGACGTGCACGCAGCTACCCGAGTCCGTCACTGCACTGATGTTGCTAGCAAATGCATCCGTAGACAACTCACAGAGAGTTGCGGTTCTAGCTGCTGCTGCTCCTACGGATTCTTCATTTACGAATCAATCGTCAAATGACGAATTTATGAAGGCTGTCTCCTACTCGTCAGTCTCTTCAGTTCTGCGGCAATGTGACAAGCCGAAATCGAACTCGATAGAAGATCACAATCCTATTTCATCCAACTCTGCTGCTACGTTTCATTCTTCTTTCTCCAACCATTCAAGCCGTCGTGATCGTTCCTACGCAAGGAACAAGAAGAAGCTTTCGCCAGATCAGCTAGCAGATCTCAAGTCTCGCAGCAGATGCCACAAGTGCTCCAAGCTTGGCCACTGGTCAACTGACCACAATGTTGATGGTTCTCTAATGTCGAATACCCGCTCCTTCGACAACTCTCGCAATTGGAATGGTGCTCCTCCCAAGCGTAATGTTGTCTCGTTCAACA